AAAAAAAAAAAAAAGAAAAAAGAAAAATGGAATCCAGTTGTTCTATCCATGAATATAGAACTGACTTAACACAAAAATCAAATAACGTTGTTTATTATGTTAACAGGTTAAAAGAACAAGTTTATAAGTGCAGGCAAAAAAATATTTGATAAAACTCAAGAAACAGTCATGACAAAAATGTTTACCAAACTTGGAATGAAAGGGAAATTTCTTATAATGATAAAAGTATCTACAAAAAAAAAAATCTACAGCAAATATCAAAATATCAAAACCATTCTCTGTTAGATAAGAATAGCAGGTTGCCTGTTACCACTACTTCTATTCTGTGGTGTCTTGGTGATCTGGAGTCATGAAAGCAGTACTTCTTAGCCTTCAGAATTGTGAGAAATAAATTTCTGTTATTTCAGCCACTGGGTCTATGGTATTTTGTTATGGCAGCCCAAGCAGACTAAGATATATAAATATACTATAAAGCTAAACTAAGACAGTGTGGTATTTTCTCAGGGACAAAGTGAATAATGGAGCAGAATAAAAAAATAGCTGCACACATACAGGGACTTAATTCATAACAGAGCTGGAATTGTAAATTAGCATAAAAAGAATGATTTTTCAATAACTGTTTCTGGGAGAGGTGGTTATCCATATTTTAAAAAATGAAATTATTGGGCCAGGTGCAGTGGTTCACACCTATAATCCTAGCACTTGGGAGGCTGAGGTGTGCAGATTGCCTGAGCTCACAGGTAGGGGACGAACCTGAGCAAGAGCAAGACCCCATCTCTAAAACAGCCAGGCGTTGTGGCAGGCACCTATAGTCCCAGCTACTTGGGAGGTTGAGGCAAGAGAATCTCTTGAGCCCAACAGTCTGAGGTTGCTGTGAGCTATGACGCCACATCACTCTACCCAGGGTCACAAAGTAAGTTTCCATCTCCAAAAACAAACAAATAAACACACAAAAACCAGAAAGAAATTATTTGGGAGGCCGAGGTGGGAGGATAGCCTGAGGCAGCAGTTGGAATAGAGACCAGCTTCCGCAATATAGCAAGACCCTATCTCTACAAAAAGTTAAAAAAAAAATACTCAGTCATAGTGGTGTGCACCTAGTTAACTCTAAAAAGGCTGAGCCAGTAGGCTCGCTTGAGCCCAGGAGCTGGAGGTTGCAGTGTTCTATGATCACACAACTGCACTCCTACCCAAGTAACAGAGTGAGACTCTGTTTCTTAAGAAAGAAAGAGAGACAGAGAAATTAAATTCCTATCTTATACCATTTGCAAAGATCAATCTAGCTGGATTCTTAGAAAAACTATCATATTTTTAGAAGTCAACATAGAAGACCTCATGATGACATTCCACCCAAGAGACATGCATGAGAATGCTCACAACAGTACGTTTTACAACAGCAAAAAATTACAAATGACCCAATTTTCCATCAAGAATCAAAATGAGGCTCGGTGCCTGTTGCTCAAGTGGCTAAGGTGTCAGCCACATACACCTTAGTTGGCAGGTTCGAATCCAGCCCGGGCCTGCCAAATAACAATGATGGCTGCAACCAAAAAGTTGGGTATTGTGGCGGGTGCCTGTAGTCCCAACTACGTGGGAGGTGGAGGCAGAAGAATCACTTGAGCCCAGGAGTTGGAGTTCACTGTGAGCTGTGACGACACAGCACTCTACCCAGGGCGACAGCTTGAGGCTGTGTCTCAACAAAAAATAAAAATAGCTGGGCATTGTGGTGCATGCCTGTAGTCCCAACTACTCGAGAGGCTGAGGCAAGAGAATTGCTTGAACCAAGAGTCTGAAGCTGTTGTGAGCTATAATGGCATGGCACTCTACTAGGGGTGACAAAGTGAGACACTGCCTCAAAAACAAACAAAAAAAAAGAATCAGGGCAGCACCTGTGGCTCAACGGAGTAGGGTGCCAGCGCTATATGCTGGAGGTGGCAGGTTCAAACCCAGCCCCAGCCAGAAACAAACAACAACAACAACAGAAAGAATCAAAGTGATAAACAGTGTATTTTCACATAAAGGAATATTACAGAGCTATGAAAATGATAAGGTGTATAGCTATACATAACAATCTGGGTAAATCCTATGAAAATAATATTGAGCAAAAAAAGCAAGTCCCAAGGAAAATATACACAGTATAATCTATTTGTATTAAGTTCAAAACAAGACATTGTTTAGGGATATAGACATATGCAGTAAAACTCCAAAGCAGGTTCCTGAGGATTAGGTACTGGGCAGCCTGCCTGGCCAAGGTCGGCAGGGCAAGAAACAGAAGGGCACATGAAGGACAGGAATGAATATCAAGAAGTCTCATGATAGTAAAAGCCACTAGCTGGGGAAGGGAAAAGGTTCCAGAACTGGAAACATTTCAAGGTAAAGGAGGTATTATTCTTTTCATCCCTAAGTAACTGACTGGGTGAAAATCAGAAGACCTGGTCTATACTCCAGATCTGGACTACCTCTACCCTCCAGATGCTGCCCTTAACCTGTACTACAACCTCAGGCAAGTTTTTATCTTGTATAGGCCTCAGACTATGAAGATCAGTGAGAGAATACATGCAGAGAAGTTCAAGATAAATACATTTAGGGGATGGGAACAGATACATTTCAAGCATATCACAATCTCAACTAGAGGCTGACCTACCAAGACACTAACGATACTTGAACTTCAGGACCTCTCACTTGTCCAAGCCCTTCACAAGGCCTCTGGAAAAAGCCTAACAATTTTGTATTATTTCCCCTTAAAAAAAAAACCCCAAGTAGTATAAACTTCAAGCTCCACAAAACCTAAATCAGTCCTTGACCTGAACCCTAAAGTGGTAAATGCTTATCACACAGCTAGGGGAGATTCCTGTTTAAATTCTCTGCTTCTGATCCTTCCGTATTATAGTTCATAAGCATGATGACTGGGTTTTCATGCTCAGATGTGAAATGTGACTCCCTTAAACCTTGTTACTACATTGCACATTACTTGTCTGATGTGAAAAAGAATTATAAAATAGTAAAAACATTCTCTGCTTTTACTGAATTTTTCTGCCTCTGAAAACCATCTCCTAATTCAAACTAGATTTCCCTTAGGAACTAAGAAAGTTTGAAATCTAAGTTCTTGAAAGAATGTGACTAACAAGGTCCCAGAATTCCCTGGCTATGCCCTTTATTCTTGCACAGAGACCTCAGGATACATTGAATCTTGTTGGATAACTCAATACAATACAAGACTATTTTTCTAACAAGGCCTTTTGCTAAGAAGGTGCACTCATTTTGGCAAATATCCTTGCTAAATATTATAATTGGCTCAAGGATGACAAAGCACAAACCACCTCTGTATTATGCCTACAACCTGTTTTCAAAACACTGTCCAAACATTCTTACTGCTGGCATTGCCACACACTCCATGCCTTCAGCAAATGTTCCTAACTCCTGGGTCTTCTGTATCAGGATCTGGACAGGCAAAAATGCAGGCCTGTAGCACAAACATATTAACAAATGCTGTTGCCACTACATTATGTGGATCAAAAACTAAAACTCCTTGTGCTTTGTCTTCTGTGTGAATGAAGGCACAGAAGCTGAATCAGTGATCTGAGAACAGGGAGAGGAATTTGCCACCAGATAGAATATTTTCAACATAGAACAAATCATCTAGAAAGAGGATTTGCTTAGTAGAGGTTGAGGAATTTGTTAAGTCAGAACTCTTCCCCCACAAAAAAGGCTATATTCAACAGGGAAAAAGAGGAGTCAAAATTTTTTTGAAGAAGCCAAAAAGGAACATAGGTTGAACCCATAAAAATCCATGCAAGACTGAAGAGGTTCTTGATAAATTTTATATTGCCAGCTTTCACTGAAAAGGAGAAAGTGTACAAAGTGAAATGAGAATGCTGGACACCCACCCACCCCCCCCCCGCCACCCCTGGCAAGAGGTAGGCTGATAAGACTACTCAGCTACAGGGTGGCACCTGTGGCTCAAAGGAGTAGGGCACCAGCCCCATATGCCGGAGGTGGTGGGTTCAAACTCAGCCCTGGCCAAAAAAAAAAACTGCAAAAAACCCCCCAAAATACAAACAAAAAAACTACTCAGCTATAAATAGGCTGTTACCTTTCACTGAAAAAGGAAGAATAGCAGAGGTATAGCTACAAGCCCAGAGGGTAGAGGCATGAGCCCAAAGCAAATGAAGAGCTCACAGGGCTGAATCAAGAGCCCAGGGGCAGAGCTGAGAGCCAGAATTACTCCCAAACCCTGAAACCTGGTCAAGGAACTGGAGTTTCTACAACTGGGTTTCAAAGCTACTTTGGGCTAGTGACTCCTTTCTACCTTTCTTTTTCCCCTTTTGTGAATCTGAAGTCCACGCCAGTCCTGCCTTGTATGTTGGAAGAGCTGGGGCAGACTATTTGTCTCTTTAGTCACACAGGTTCACAGGCATGGAGAGGAACTGTGTTCAGGAGTTGTACTTTCCAGATTATATTCCGAAGCCTCATCTACATGGGATTTAGACGATCTTGATAATGTGATTTTAGATACTTGAGCTCACAAGATTCAGGGCTCTTAACTATTGCCACAAGGGATGAGACCCTTGGGAGGGGCATGACCACGAGTCATGAGGGCCAAAGGGTAGGCTGGTAGGCAAAAACTTAAGATGCTGACAGCAAAAGGGGATTTCAGAGAGATTAAAAGCATGAGAAAGATTCACTACAAGAGATGTTCTTTGCAGCTAAGATGGAGGGAATTACAGCAAGGACCACTGGGGGCAGGAGCTAAGAGTAGTCCCTGGCTGACAGCCAGAAATAAAATGGGGGTCCCATGAGCAAAAGGAACCTGTAGACCAGTAACTTGGACGAACTGGGAAAAAATTCTTCCCTAGAGCCTCTAGATAAGTGTGGCTCATGCCATGGGGTGGCACCCGTGGCTCAGTGGTTAGGGTGCCAGCACCATATACCAAGGGTGACAGGTTCGAACCTGGCCTCAGCCAGCTAAAATAGCAGTGGAAAATGCAACAAAAATAGCTGGGCATGGGCTCGGCACCTGTGACTCAAGCAGCTAAGGCGCCACGGCAATCTACCCAGGGTGACAGCTTGAGGCTCTGTCTCAAAAATAAAAATAAAATAAATAAATAAACAAAATAAAATAAAAGTAGCTGGACATTGCTATTAGCTGTGATGCCACAAAACTCTACCGAGGGTGACAAAGTGTGATTCTGTCTCAAAAAAAAA